ACGCACACGCACACGCACACGCACACACACACAGACCTGACAGGCACACTGAGTTTTTGCTGTCAATCTATTTTCGGTATCAAGGACCCTGAAAACATGGACTGACTACACATTAGAGAAAGTAATTTAGTACATTTAAAAAACAGATCTATTCACTTATGCGTTAACAGGGCCAGGTATTAAGAGGTTTTCTGCAAAAAAATAAATAAATAAATAAAGAATCACAGTTTTCCAGCGTATGAGTAAAAATACTTTTATCTTATGAAGTAAGGCGAGGAAGTAATAATTAGCAGTGATAACAAAAAGAGGAATGTAATATCCAAAAATAATTACTGGATCCATTTTCATGAGCCTGTAATAATTAATTCAGAATTTATTTTTACTAATCTTCTTTTTGACCTGCAATGCCAAATGATCAGTCAAAAAGAATGTTCACCTAAAACACAAATATCCACAAGCTGTGATGACACTGTATTTTAATTGCACCAAGAGCATGAATACAATGAATCCAGAAAGCCTTTTCTTTTTTTTTTTACTTTTGCTTACTTAGAGCCACTTTGGGTCCTGCGGTTGCAATGAAAGAGAAAAGAAACTTATCTAAATAATAACCTCAAATTCTGCAATAATGATTAGAATTCTAATCATGCATATGAACACTGGAAAAACTTACGTTGCAATTTCTTGAACTGTTCTTTCATAATCTCAGGTTTATCAAAATTAGTTCTCAGAGCAACCAAAACATCTTTGTTGTTTGCAACTAATTTCTGTAATTATAAAAAATAATATTGTAAATACATATTTTTCAGTTAACAAATAAGATTAATTTTGACTGAACAACACAAACATTTATTCTATTAGTAATTAGCTATTTTTGTATTTTATCATTAGCATCGTGGCAAGTAACCTGGGTGGAGTATTTACTTTAGATAACTTTTTGCAGTTCTACGGGCATGCTCCATTAATAAATAAATGGTAGAACATAATATATGATGAGGAAACTTAGGACAAATTACATGATATGCGCACTGAATGTGATGAAGCCCTTACAGCGACTCAACAAATGACCCTTGAAGGTACTACACAACAATGAGAAGGTAACATCTAAAAATATATCGTCAAATTGAGATACAATTTGTCAAATACAGTTGTACAGAATTAGAAATTTTGTAATTTCCTAAACCAACATGTCTGAATATAAAGTGCCTACTAAATTTGAAGAAGCCTCTAGAATTTTTTAAATTTTAAAGTAATCCTAACTATACAGCCACAATAATATTGCAAATTGTCTTTCTGACTAGCTGATAACAAAGACAAGAAATTCGGTTTGCCATTTTCTTCCTTATCATCAGTCTACGTACATCTTTACTTGCTCATTGATTTTCTTCCTTATCCTTCTCCCATACTACATCATCTTCTGACTTTTTAGGTCCCCTGAAAAGTTTTCCGCGTGCAATTGCATTCTATGTCTTTATCTGACACTAGACTTAACAACATTTGCATTTGCGATAACAAATGTTATTCTTGCCATGCTACAGTTCATGGCCTCTACTTCTATAACCACTATTGAATTGAAATTCAGAGTGTTTAACGTCTGCATGATCAAGATGTGAACTGCAAACTCAATGCTTGTACCTAAATGAAATCTCAGCCACTATTTCCTTTCATTTTTACTGTGTGTTTCTGTTACTCCAATGTCAGTTTCATGTACTCTCTTTACTACCCCATTCAAAAATACGTGTTACGGTCTGAATTGTTGGCACATCCTTAGTAGATTTTTTTTATTTTTATCATTATTTTTATTATTATTATATTATTTTTATTATTATTATTTTTATTATTATTATATTATTATTATTATTATATTATTATTATATTATTATTATTATTATATTATTATTATTATTATTATTATTATTATTATTATTATTATTATCCAACAGGCATATAATGCCTAAATACATTGCATATATACATAGGTTTATACGCTCTTGAAGATTACAAAATATTTGTTTGTCATAAAATAAGTATTGTCATTTGTTGCATATCTATCCAGTGAAATCTAATATGAGTTGTTTGATCATTTTAGCTATTGACGTTGTATTTCGAGTCAAATCAATTTCAGATATCTAGAAAGCACCCACTAATATAATTACTAGGCATAATAGCATTGTAGATATGCTTGGCTAACGATTGTCTTCGTAGCTTATTGTTATAGTGACATTCCAGTTTCTTGACAGAGAAAGATATAAATGGATTTTTTGAAAATAATTTAGGAAAAATTTGGATAAATATGGTAATGCTCCCCAGAACCAGGCATATAAAATATTTAACTACTAAGAAAAACCAGCATATTCAAATGTTTTTAAGAACTCCAACGCTGCTACATTGATAAAAAAGCCCTCAGTTGAATAACTACCACATTTAACAAATATATGACAACTCTGAATACAAGATGACCCTCGAATTTTGGAGGCCTCGTGAGAATTATTTCTTTTTTAACTAGCTTGAACTGTCAGTTACAATAAAATTGGAAATTGTCTTATTGCCAAGAAAATTGTCTTGATGAAAAGAATAAATCTTTTTGCCCCAGCTCTAATAAATTCACTTTCTCACTAATTTCTTCTTGCACATAGATATCATCGTTGTTATTATCTTTGTTTTTCACAATCATCTTGCACATATCCTTGTTGCTTGATGCTGCTCCTCTGGCTTTTTAGGCTCCCCTAAACTTGCATTCCTTATCTTTCACCAGATACCACCTATTTCAGTCTATGTTAACAGATTTTCTTCCCAGCACTCTTCTTCATGGCCTTTGCTTCTTCAATAACTATTACTTTGAAATTTGCATCATATAATGTTTACATGAGAGAGATGAAAACTACAAACTCTTACATCTCCATACCTCTGTTTTGGAGGTAGTGCAGATGATTGCAGAGAAGTTTCCAATGTTTGGGTTAATATTTTATTTATTTAGACTTGTTAACAATACCGTGACAATGCCTGCACTTTTTGTATTGACAGTCTATTCATTTTAACATGTAATAAATTTTTTCAAAGTGAAGAGTTAAGTCTACATAGTTAAACAGAACAGCAAGGTAATTAACTAGAAGAGGTATATAGCACAGTACGTACGTATGCATGTACGTAGGTATGCATGTACGTATGCATGCATGCACGTATGCATGCATGCACGTATGCATGCATGCACGTATGCATGCATGCACGT